TGTATCTCTTTTTTTTTTTATTAATTAAATATGTTATATGATTGAATAATTGTATAACATATATTATATATAAGATATGGCACAAATATATGAAATCAATGTTGAACTATGACCAAATCAAAAGAAGAATCTCGGTAAAGCTTTCATAGCAGACATGTCAATCACACTAAGATTAACCTCAAACGCATTGACAGGCAATGATAAACTCTTAGTTCCAGAGAAAGTCGCTAAACGGTAAATGAAACATCGTCAATTAAAAAAAGGTATAGATATCAGACTACCAAAAACCAATATCCGAAACCAAATTGGAGGCAGCCTTTTAACATCAATTCTTAGTATGGCAAAACCTCTTTTACCGACTATTGGAAAGACATTAGGCCTTTCTGCTTTGTCTGGATTGGCAAATGAAGTTAAGGAGCTTCTCAGTTAGTTAAAGCAAATTCTGGGAAAGGTGTTCAGTCAGGCAGTTCTCTCATACCGCAGAATAAAATGAATCAGCTCATTCAATACAAGAATTTATTAACTGAAAAACGGAAAAGAGACATTCTGGGTGCTTTACAAAGTGGACAAGGTGTTCACTTTAAACCAACAAAAACTCAAATGGGAGGAGCCCTTGGGACTATTCTTGCTTCAATTGGTATTCCAATGGCTATTGATTTGGTTAAGAATTTAGTTTCTGGACGAGAAGCACCACGGTTGGGATCAAAAGGTAGCAAAGGAGCTCCAAGATTGGGTGCTTACACGCATCCACCTCCATTTATCGGTAATTGGTCAAATAGTCTAGTCGGCAGAGGTTAAAAAAAAAAAATCAAAAAAAATCAAAAAAAACCTCGAAAAAAGGAAAAGGATTACTTCCAGGAAAAAACAGCCCGTTCAATTCAATTCCACTACTCGGAGCAATTTTGTAAGGCCACAATTCCATAAAAAAAAAGATCCCTTTAACAAACTTTGATCTCATGAAATGGTGTGAATATCTAAAAATTCCGATCAATGATGTTTTAAGTAGAGATGAAAGGGTTCCACACAACCATAAACAAGCTATATTTATTTACAATCTTCACCCATCACACATGTCAGGATCACTTTGGGTAGCAACTTTTGTTAAAGATATTGTAATCAATTACTTCGATTCATTTAGAATGCTACCATTTCAAGAAATAGTTGATCATGCTAAAAAGAGGAATCTAACTCTTCTTCATCAGAACGATCAAATTCAGAACATTGAAACAACGACTTGTGGTTATTTTTTTCTGTACTTCTTGAATGAGATGAACAAAGACAAATCATATTTTGATCTTCTGCAAGTGTTTGATATACATGACACAGTGAAAAATGATAAATTCTTAGTTAATTATTTCAGAAATATCTAACGTATTTTATATGTATATTATATTTTGTATTTTATCTTATTGTGTTAAGTAGAAAAAAGTTACCGATTGTGTGAAAGATAGCGAAAGATATTAACCAGCCAATAACGGTAGAATGATGTTAAAATGCATTTGTGCAGAATGTGGGATAACGAAAACAAAGTTTGTCAATATCGATTCCAAAGGTGGAGCATTGTTTGATGTATGCAGCAGTCATTCAATAGGTGAAATGGTCTTAAAAGGATCATGAGCCAACAGTGGAGCTTATCTCGCTCGAAAGGGTAATGCAAAAGCTATCAAATCAGATTACGCTAAGAACAAAACCAAACCGAAACAGCAAATAAATATCTCGATCAAGCTCTTGACAGCTTCACCGATGATTTGAGTAAAAATATAAGTGGAGGCAACTTTGATTACTCACAATGGTATCCAATGGACATTTATTCACCTCAAGGTGTTCATGATCCAACTAATCCACTTTACAAAGGCGGTGCTGTTGACATCCATAAACTAATCAGCAAGCTACCAAAACCGAAAGGTGGATGGACACCTGGGTCATATAATTATATGGGTCCTTATAATCCACTTCACAAACAGTTAGAATATGATAAGAATACTGGTGAGGTGACAAAATGGCATGTCAAGCCTTATAATCAAGTGGATGAAATAGCTACGGATCATGCATGATATCTGTTATGACATGGGTAAAAACAAAGGTGACTGTGATCGGCAGATGGTTAAATCATTAGATGAGATACCTTATAGAGAGATGCCAAAATGGGGACAAAAAGCTCGATTCTTGATCAATACCAAACAGAAATTAGGTCTTGGTGTAAAACAAAGGAAGTCAAAAAACGAGAAAAGCCGTCGAATGAAGTAAACTAGCAAGTAAAATTAGCGGATGAATTACATAAACCCATCAAGCGTAACTTTACTCGGCGGCGTATAATTCCAAATCTATCATATTGACGAAATTTGGAATGCAGATTTGGTTGAAATGCAGAAATTTAGTTAGTGGAACAAAGGATATCGATATCTTCTTATGGTCATTGATATATTCAGTAAATACGGTTAGACTGAGCCTTTGAAAGATAAGAAGGGTGAATCCATAAGCCAAGCTTTCAATAACATATTCAAAGAAGGAAGAAAGCCAGAGTTCTTATGGACTGACAAAGGTAAAGAATTTTACAATAAACCAGTTGAAGAATTGTTGAATAAAAATAATGTCAAATTATATTCAACTGAAAATGAAGAGAAAATCATCTGTTGTCGAGCGTTGGAATCGTACAATTAAAAACAAGATGTGGAAACAGTTTACTAT